TTGTATTACATAGACCTCTAACATAGCTGTGGTGTCATTTGTATTACATAGACCTCTAACATAGCTGTAGTATCATATGTATTCCAGAGACCTTAAACAGTTCATCCTTGACAGTCTTTTAGTCTGTTGCCATGATGCAAATGTATATTATTTCTCTGGCAAGTATTGTATATTGACAAATATACTAATTAAATACTGTTTCATACCTAACAAACAGACAGATAGATGTTCTGATTAATAGAAAGAATAGACGTGACTTGATTAAAATTTTTATGCGTTTGGATAATTAGTTACCAATGATCTGTTTCAGTGTGTGTGTGATTCAGAAATTTGGAAATGCAACACTGAATGACAAGTTTATACGTTTGAAACCTAGATTGAAGCTTGAAATTTGGCAAAATTAGTTATGAACATTTGGAATGATTTTCCTGAATGTCTGGTTTGTGTTGTTAGTTTAGATTTTTTTAAAGTGATTGTTGGCTGTTTATACTGACATGAAAATCCCAGTTGGTCAAATAATCCGTTGTCACTTCATCCAGTCTCACGTTATGCTAGTTACAGAATGATATTTGTCTCGTTTTTCCTGTATCAACGTATAAATACACCACTTGTCTGAGAAGGTTTTTTAATATTTTTGAAAATTTCATGTAAAACTCAGTTTGATGATTTAAGTTTTAAATTATTTAATAGAAGATATAAGTTTATTTAAATTTCAGCAAGTCGTACGTTTTCCAAAAAATATATATCTAATTTCAGTTTTATTTATGATGAAATAGAAATTATAAAGATCAACAGGATGTATTTCTCAGAAAGTTTAACTAGGTGGCTAATTTGAAACCTGCAGCTAAATATTTTGATTTTTTTATTATCAATTCTTTACATGGAGTGTTGTAGCGAATAAAAAAAGTTACATTTCTCGCTATAGTGTAATATTTGGACATCAGAATGATGTATAAACTAGTTAGTAATTTGAAAGCTGTTTGTTTGTTTGTGAATTTTGTACAAAGCCACTTGAGGGCTATCTGCACCAGCCATTCTCAATTTAGCAGTGATAAACCAGAGGGAGGGCAGCAAGTCAACACCACCCACTGCCAACTCTTGGGCTACTCTTCTGCAGTGATTAATGGGATCAATCATGGCATTATAATGCCTCCACTGCTGAAAGGTCGAGCATCATCAGTTGTGGGGATTTGAACCTGTAACCTGGCATTATAATAGCTCCACTGCTGAGAGGTCAAGCATCTTCAGTTGTGGGGATTTGAACCTGCAACCTGACATTATAATACCTCCACTGCTGAAAGGTCAAGCATCTTCAGTTGTGGGGATTTGAACCTGTAACCTGACATTATAATACCTCCACTGCTGAAAGGTCGAGCATCTTCAGTTGTGGGGATTTGAACCTGTAACCTAGCATTATAATACTTCCACTGCTGAAAAGTCGAGCATCTTGAGTTGTGGGGATTTGAACCCGTAACCTGGCATTATAATAGCTCCACTGCTGAAAGGTCGAGCATCTTGAGCTGTGGGGATTTGAACCTGTAACCTGGCATTATAATAGCTCCAC